AAGATTATCTTCTGTGTCTGTGTTAATTGGTTTCCCTTTTCTTTGTTGAAGAGGGTCTGTGCAATCCTTCTGCCTAGTCCACCATCTTGCCCCTGAAGTACCTGCCACTTTTCTAAAGTTTGACAAATTCGGACATATGTGCCTCCCAGGATCTGGGTACGGGACTGTGGACCTCCACTGTGGACAGTGGGGAGTGAGGAAAGTTCAAGCAGGGTGGGGAAGGGGTGGGCTTGGGCAGAAGATTCCCTGAGGCTGCTGGGAGAGTCAGAGTGTCGAGGGGCGGCTGCAGGTGGGGCGGGCTGCAGGTGAGGCGGCTGCAAGGAGAAGAAAAGGCTTGAAGTAGACACGGCCACAGGAGTAGGGAGGAGAGGACAGTGAAAGAGAAATTCAGGAGGCGGAAGGTGGCCTCAGTGACTGCAGGGGCAGGAGGGTGTGGGATCTTTCGTCATCAAGTGGGGGTGGGGGAGGAATGGGTTGGGAAAGCTGTGCTGAGTCCACTTTGGGATGTGGGGGGCCTGCAGGAAACTGTCCAAGAGGTACCAGGGAGAGGGGAGGGAGGAGGAGGAGGGGATGAGGCCTGGCAGGGTAGTGAGTCCAGGCCTTATGCTCCCCAGGTTGGGCTGTGGGGGCCCGCCCTGCTCCCCAATGCCTCGCTCCCCCGAGGAGTGCCGACGTCTCCGGACCTGCAGTGAGTGCCTGGCCCGCCATCCCCGAACTCTGCAGCCTGGAGATGGAGAGGTGAGCGCGCTGTCGGGTGCTGAGTGGAGGCCCAGGAGGTCCCTGTCACCAGTGTCTGCCTGCCCCAGGGTCTGAAGAACCACTGAGTTCTTCAGTTGTGATTGGGCGGGAAGAGCTGGGTCAGGGGACATGTTGGGGATCCCTGAGGGCCCTACAGAGCCTGTTTTCCCACACCAGGCATCTGCCCCCCGCTGTAAGTGGTGTACCAACTGCCCTGAAGGTGCCTGCATTGGGCGCAATGGATCGTGCACCTCGGAGAACGACTGTCGGATCAACCAGCGAGAGGTCTTCTGGGCAGGGAACTGCTCTGAGGCTGCGTGTGGGGCCGCTGACTGTGAACAGTGTACACGGGAGGGCAAGTGCATGTGGACACGGCAGTTCAAGAGGACAGGTGACCGCCCAGCTTGGGGGGACTCCTGGGTCCTGGCCAAGGGAGGGGCTTAGGGGGCCTGGTTTGAATGAAGGAAGGACACTGGGGGCCTGGATTCTTTCCTGGGTCTGAGGGAGAAGGATGCTGAGGACCAGGACCCCTGGGTCTGAGGGAGGAGGGGGCTGGGACCTGGACCCCTGACTCCCAGGGAGGAAGGGGCTGGGGGCCTGGACCCCTGGGTCTGAGGGTGGTGGGGGCTGGGGGCCTGGACTCCTGGATCTGAGGGAGGAGGGGCTGGGGGCCTGGGCTGGGTGCTAATCTCTCTGTGCACAACCCCTTAGGGGAGACCCGCCGCATCCTCTCGGTGCAGCCCACGTATGACTGGACGTGCTTCAGCCACTCCCTGCTGAACGTGTCCCCAATGCCGGTGGAGTCATCGCCCCCACTGCCCTGCCCCACGCCTTGTCATCGCCTGCCCAATTGTACCTCCTGCCTGGACTCCAAGGGTGCGGACGGAGGCTGGCAGCACTGTGTCTGGAGCAGCAGCCTCCAGCAGGTACTGCGCCCGGCGTGGGCTGGGCTGGAGCAGGGCCAGGGCTCCCTCCTCTCTGCTGCCAGCACTAACCTTTCTTCTGCACCTCTTCCTCTGTCCCACTTCTCCCTCCCTCTTTCTGGCTCTAGGCCTGCCGCTGTCCTTCCCTATCCCCACGCTTTCACCTTCTTTCCTCCCAATATCTCTTGTTCGTCTTTCTCCCTTCCTGGCCTGTGAATTGCGCCATACTCTGTGTCACCTTCCCAGGCTCCCCAGCCCCAGCCTGCCTCTCTCCAGCTCTTCTTCATGGTCTCCCCTTCTCACCCTGTTCCAGGCCTCTTAATACAATCGCCCTTCCACCTCGCAAATCTTCTCTGCTTCCCTCCTCCATCTCTTGTCTCTGCTTTTGGACTCATTTGGTTGCAAGAAGCAGAAATCCACTTGAGCTAGTTTTATTGTAAGGATTTGGGGACGTTTGATGGGATCTGAGAACAAGAAATACTGCTGCTCTGTCACTCTCAGACCCCATCTCGGCAATTCTCCACTCATCTCCATCTTCTGGTTTCTTTTGGTTTCATCATCGACACACGTAGCCTCAAATGGCAGGCCTTGATGTGAGTCTGTATGACATTCTAGTTCCACCGGCCAGTCATCTTTTCATCACTTAGTTCATATTCTCAAGGAAAGGCTCAGGGTCAGCTCATGGATTCGGCGCAAGGGGAGGCTCACATGGTTCAAACATGGTGGCTCAAGCCCAGCCCTTCCTCTGTGGCTCTGGGGTGCTGAGATGATTCTCTTTTTCTAAAAAATAATATTTTGTTGTGTTTTCAGTGAAGGTTTACACAGCAGTTTAGGTTCCGTGCAACCATTTCTGCACAGATTGTCCAGTGACATTGGTGAACATTCTCAGTAATTTGTTCTCGTTGTTTCACTTCAGTTGATCTGGTTTCCCTGCCCCCTGACATTCATTCTCATCTTTGTTTTAAAGTCATTGTTGATTGTTTGGTCTCAGAGATGAATTATTAAAGATGGAGAGATGATTTCTGTGTGTGTAATCTGGGTGAAAGTTTACAGAGCAAATTCATTTTCCTTCAGCAGTTCATACATGTTTTGTTTCATGACATTACTTGCAACCTCCATAATGTAGCAGCTCTCTTCCCACTTCTTCCCTGTGCTTACCTTTTCTGTGTCCTTCTTTTCTGTGCCTTCCTGCCCTCTGAGCTATCATCTCCCTATTCAGATGCCGCCCTTCTGATCTCCCATGGTTGATTGTTCTAAGGAGTGTACCTACCTGGTGTAATTATTCATTTTAGGCCTTTAGTTTGGCTGGAAGCCACAGGAGTGAGTTCAGTTCCGACCCTGAAGGGTTACTTGGGGGCCATCGGCTCAGGGTAAAGGAGAAGAAGTAATTCTTGCAGAAGTGGGTATGTTCTGGGTGGGCACCATATGTGTCTGTTACAGTCCACCCCTTGACTGCCCAGCACATATTCTTATGTTTCCATAAAATCCATTGCAAATATGCCTCTGTCGATATGTGGCAGACACAAAGACATTCAGCCCACCCTGGTGGGAGATGACATAGATTCCCCACTGCTGTCACTGGACTAGGGCTCTGAGGCTCTGACCCCACTGATGGCCACTCCTTCTCTAATAGTACAAGACTCCACTGAGGTCTGACTGCACCCTGTTTTTTCCCCTTTTGATCAAGATTCATCTGTTGATTCCTTGATCAGAATGTTCAGCAATGGTATTGGCTCAGATTTTTTAGAAAGACTGCTGTTCAGCCCAGACATGACAGGTATGCAGCCCAGACCTGTCACGATGTGGCTCATGGGTGGCCAGATGTTAACCAGTGGTATTGTTCTCAATGGCTTTGGTCTCAGAGCCTGGTCAGGCAGCAGAATACCCTCTTGCCTGGCATGCCCCCTTCCTAACCAAGTAACCAACTAACTAGCTTTCTAACTCTACCTTCCTACCTTCCCTACTAAGTAACTTCTTCCCTAACTTCCTTCCTTCCTTCCTTTTTTCAACAAGTTCTTTACTGGGCACCTTCCTCATCTGGGCACTTGGTTAGGCTCTGTGCACAGGACAGCAGATAAGCTAGGGTCCTGCTCATAGGACTTGGACTCACACATCTCTTCCAGGAACACAGGAAATGCAGTTTAGGGTGTTGGGCGTCATTCCCTTCGTCTGCTAGGGAGGGCACAGCAGATGGTGCTATCCAGGACTGGGGCCTGTTTACCAGCTTCTCTTCCCCTCCCAGATTGCCCCACTGTCTGCCAGTCAGTGCACTAAATTTAGGTCTAGACGCCCAGCCTGGCAGAGAATTTGCCTGTGGCAGTTCAGCAAGTCTCAGCTCATTGCTGCCCCAGCCCTCCGAGGGCTTGGAGCTCTAGCCGCAGCAATCAGGGTTTCTATTTCAGGATTCCTGATTGCACTGCTTTTTCCTAAGTGCTTTCAGACAGACAGCCCAGATTAATTTCTTTCCTCTTACACTTTACTTAAGGCCCAAGCAGTAAATTCAATGCTCTTATCTGCCAGACACGTTCCCAAGAGTCTGGACCTCATTGTCCACATTGTCTGGGTCCTGAGACTAAGAAGTGATGACTCATGAGTTGTGTGTATGGGGCCCCTAGTCAAGGCCTCTTCGACTTCCAGCCTAGGGTGGGGGAGTCCTCGTTGCCTCAGCTGCCAGGTCCACATTTTCCGAAGTGGCCAAGGCTTACAACCCTATTCCTGATAATGGTTTCTGTCTCTCTCAGGGATGGTTTGGTTGTAAGAAAGAGAAATTCCTTTAGCTAGTTAGATGAAGGGCACTCACCACACCAAGATGGTGGTGCCTCATGGAACACAGGGGTGGAAGGTACAGGTGGAACTCACAAAGAACTGGAGATGGAGCCTGGACAGCTGCCTCTCCGTGTGTCCGTCCGTCTGTCTGGGGGCCTGGTTCTCATTTCTGCCTCTCTCCGCATCCCCCTTGTCCTGTTCTCCTCGTTCTCTCCATTTGCTCATCGCGTCCAGTGTTCGCAGTCTCTCCAGCCCAGGTCTGTGTCAGCTTCTACTTTCTTGTTTCTGATTTATTTTTGTTGTTGAAACTATGTACAGCAGAAGTTGTACCAATTCAGCAGTTACTACATGGACAGTTCAGTGACATTCTTCGAGTTGTGCAACCTTCTCACCCTCCTTTTATGCGTTGTTCGTCCCCCGTGAGCATAAACTCACTGCTCCCTAAGGTTCCCGTCCAACATCTCGAGTTGCTGTTGTCAGCTTGACCCCGTGTAGATAGATCGTAAAAGAGCACGGTGCTCAAGGCAGACACTCTTTGCTGGTTAAGCTAAACGCCTGGTTGCTTTCAGGACGACTTCCAGGGATGCTTTTGGTGATCTCCTACTCTCCCTGGCCTCCCTTGCCCGACCCCCAGTCTCGACTCCTAGTTACACATGCTGGAGCGAGGGACCGTGACGTTGCAGCTAGTGCCACCCTGTCCCCTCGGCTTGGTTCTCGCACTCTCGGAGAAGAGAGTGTAGTCTGGGAAGATGTCCAGAATGTCTCTTCTGACGCTCTTCTCTCTGCCTCTCTCCTGCCCCCCAATGTCCCCTCCCACTGCAGTGTCTGAGCCCCTCTTACCTACCCCTGCGATGCATGGCTGGAGGCTGCGGGCGACTGCTCCGAGGCCCCGAGAGCTGCTCCCTGGGCTGTGCTCAGGCCACCCAGTGTGCCCTGTGCCTGCGGCGCCCCCACTGTGGCTGGTGTGCCTGGGGGGGCCAGGATGGTGGCGGCCGCTGCCTGGAGGGGGGACTCAGCGGCCCCCGTGAAGGTGAGGGGGAGGGGGTGGGGTGGATGGAGCTGGGACCTGGTGCAGAGAATGTGGGGAGCTCAGGGGGCTGCCCGGGTGGCTCAGAGGAAGCCGTGGTGAGGACCCTGGGTGGCTGGGGGAGTTCAGAGACCCGCAGGCGAAGCCCTGTATCCCTGGTGCCAGGGCTGACGTGTGGGCGTCCGGGAGCCTCCTGGGCCTTCCTATCCTGTCCCCCTGAGGACGAGTGTGCAAATGGGCACCATGACTGCAATGAGACACAGAACTGCCATGACCGGCCCCACGGCTATGAGTGCAGCTGCAAGACAGGCTACACCATGGACAAGTGAGCCAGCTGGGCAGGGAGGAGGGAATCGGGAAGGGCCAGGCTCACCAGGGGTGTGGGGAGTGGGGAGTCGGGGAGGGACAGGCCCACGAGGGGTGTGGGGAGGGGGGAGTCAGGCCGGGGCAGGCCCACTGGGGGGTGTGGGGAGGGGGAAGTCAGGCCGGGGCAGGCCCACTGGGGGGCGTGGGGAGGAAGTCAAGGATGGGCAGGCCCACTGAGGGGCATGGAGATCCATGAAGGATGCATATATAGACCAAGCAGATGGAAAAGGAATCCAAGGTGTGAGTGGCTAGCTTGGGAGGGGAAGGGATGCTAGGCTAGACAGGGGCAGAGTTCATTCACCAGGGGACCCCTGAGAGGAGAGGGAAAATGTGTTGAACCCTGGAGGGGGCATGCTGGACCCCAGAGGGTGGCAGTGAGGGAACAGACTGGGGGCACGTGAGTAGTGGGGGAAGAGCGTGGTGGGTGATGAGCTCGGCTAGGGGAGTGGGGGCTGCCGTGGTGAGGGCCCGGCAGCGTGCCTGACCCCCGCCCCTGCCCACAGTGTGACGGGGCTCTGCCGCCCCGTGTGTGCCCAGGGCTGTGTGAACGGCTCGTGCGTGGAGCCCGAGCACTGCCGCTGCCACTTCGGCTTTGTTGGCCGGAACTGCTCCACGGAGTGTCGCTGTAACCGCCACAGCGAGTGCGCCGGCGTGGGGGCGCGCGACCACTGCCTGCTCTGCCGCAACCACACTAAGGTGGGTTCTGTTAGGGCCTCGCCCAGGACCCGGATCCTGGCCCCTCAGCCAGCTCTTTCCTTGCCTTTGGCTGGTGCTCAGGCCACAGGTGGGGAGAGGTGGCAGAGGAGCGGTGAGAAGACTTTTGGGGATGCCATCTGGGTTCCTGTCATGGGCAGTGCCCCAGGAAAGGGACGGAGTCAGCCCTGGGCCAGGGAGGGCAGTCATGTGAGGGAGGATTTAGGGTCGTGTGGGAAAGGACTTTCTGAGCTCGGGACTTTGGGCTGTCTCTGGAGGTGGGGCCTAACGCCAGGCAGGCAGGTGTCGCCCAGCCCAGGTGGCTGAGCCCCCTGCCTCTGTGGTGCTCTCAGACCGGCCCTGCTCGCCCTCTCCCGTGACCTCTGACTCCTCTGAGCCCCTGTCCTGTGTCTCCAGGGCAGCCACTGTGAGCAGTGCCTCCCGCTGTTTGTGGGCTCAGCTGTGGGGGGCGGGACCTGCCGGCCCTGCCACGCCTTCTGTCGCGGCAACAGCCACGTCTGCGTCTCCAGGAAGGAACTAGAAATGGCCAGGAGGGAGCCAGAGAAGTACTCACTGGATCCAGAGGAGGTAGAAGCTGGGGTCCCAGACTCCCGGGTCTGAGGGAGGAAGGAGCTGGTCCCTGCCTATTTGCGATCACCCTGTCCTGCCTTGGCCAGATCGAGAACTGGGTGGCCGAGGGCCCCAGTGAAGACGAGGCCGTTTGCGTGAACTGCCAGAATAACAGCTATGGGGACAAATGCGAGAGCTGCCTGCATGGCTACTTCCTCCTGGACGGGAAGTGCACCAAGTGAGGGGGAGCCTGGGACCCTAGCCTTCCCAACTGGGGACCTCTCAGGGAACCCCTGTGCTGGGGCAGGGGAATGAGCGGGCCTCATTCGGGAAGTAGTTTACCTCAGAGGCCCGTGCTGAAACCCAGGCTACAGAGTACCCGGACGGAGACTGGGGGGCAAGAGGGGGAGAGGGGAGTGCCGAGGGAGGAGTCTGCAGGTAACTACCCTCCATCCCCTTCCTCCTGAGTGTGCAGTGAGCTCCGGAGTCAGGCTAACCTGAGTTCACATCCTGACTCTGCCACTTAGTGGCCCTGTGGCCTTGGACTTAACCTCTGTGAGCCTCAGTTTTCCTTTAAGCCAGTTGCACGGACTCAAGCTCACGTGTGCACCGCCCAGCCTCCGTCTCTGCACGTCGTGGGAGCCCTGTAGCCACCGTCCACTTCCCCTTCTTCCAGGTGCCAGTGTAACGGCCACGCGGACACGTGTAACGAGCAGGACGGGACGGGCTGCCCATGCCAGAACAACACGGAGACGGGCACGTGCCAGGGGAGCTCCCCCAGTGACCGCCGGGACTGCTACAAGTACCAGGTGCGGCTGGAGAAGCAAGTTACGGGCTGAGGGGCCCCCACCCCCAAGAGGTCAGATCTGGGATGGTAGGTCAGAACCTACGTGGTTCTGATGTCTGTGGTCTTGGGATCAAGGTCAAGGTCAGTTTGACAGACTGATCCTGAGCCCCAGTCTGTTTTAGGCCCTGGACGGTGATGCTGGGACCCATATATGACCCTTTTCGCCCAGAGGGGCTCTCAGTTTGGTGGGACTATTACAAGTAGTCACAGCTTGAAGTTTGCAAATGCTAGAAAACTCATAGCACCTTAAACAAACAAGGCAATCTACTGGCTCTCAAAACCTTCAGGCATGGCTGGATCCAGGTGTTCACACGGTGGCATGAGAGTCTCTCCTTCCCTGCATCTCGACTCTGCTTTCCTCTGGGTGGGCCTCATTCTCAGACTGTCCCCAGCTGACAGCCCCTGTCTGATGACTTGGGGCTAAGAGGGGATCTCATGTTAGTTCCAATACCCAGGTTCAAATCCCCTTCTCTGCAAAGGTGGCTTCTTGAGCACCTGTCTTCCCCACCTGCCTGGTTGTCATGTTGCCGGCTTGCCTGCCATAGAGGGCATATCTCTCGCTCCCTCCCCAGAGCATATCCCCGCCTGCCCACCCACCTTTCCCTCTCTGGTTCCAAACGAAAGAGAAGCCCCTTAGTGTCGCCCACCTTCTGCAGAAACAGCACACCTGCAGCTGTACAACTCCACCCACATTGGTGAGACTTTGACAAGCCTTAAAGACCAAGGCTTTTAAAAACCCGTTGCTGTTGAATTGATTGCGACTTATAGTGACCCTATGTTGTTGTTGTTGTTATGTTGTTATGACGCCTCCTTGGGTTTCCGAGACAGTATCACTACGGAAGTAGATTGCCCCATCTTCCTTCCAAGGAGTGGCTGGTGGGTTTGAACCGCCAGCCTTCTGGTTAGCAGTCAAGTGCCTCAGGCACTATGCTACCAGAGCTCCTAGTGACCCTATAGAACAGAGTAAAACTGCCCCATAGAATTTCCAAGGCTGTAAATCTTTATGGAAGCAGATTGTGACATCTTTCTCCCCTGGAGCAGCTGGTGGGTTTGAACTGGCAACCTTTTGGTTAGCAGTCAAGTACTTTAACCACTGTACCACCAGGCCTTAATCAAAAAGCAAACCCATTGCTGTGGAATCGATTCTGACTCATAGTGATGCTGTAGGACAAGGTAGAACTGCCCCCTAGAGTTTCCAGTGCTGTAATCTATGGAAGCAGACTGCCATGCCTTTTTCTCACAGGGCAGCTGGTGGGTTCAAACCACCAACCTTTCAGTGAACAGCCCAATGCTTTACCACCAGGCCTTAATTTCCTCCTGGACCAGAATTTTTGCTTTCTTGATGCATAATCAAAAGACCCCTTGGCTTTTGCAAGAAAAGCCCCAGAGATGAAGAAGTCAGACCCCTTGCAACTCTGTTGGTTGGCAGCTCTAAAGAAGCAGTTTCTTTAGCTTCTAATGACATGGCAGCAGTGGCCATTAAACAGGGAGTGCCTGCTAGGTGCCCAGTGGCCCTGAGCTGTGGACATGACAGAGACAACATACACGTGGAAGGCTCTGGAACGCTCATCTGTGCTGGGGCCTTAATGGGGCACAAACATACTAACCCGCTGATAGCCAGAGAGAAACCAAGCTCAGACACATGACCTGCCCCATGTCAGGCAGCCAGTCAGGGTTTGTGGCCTGGGTTGAAGCCTGGTCTCAGCCCAGAGCCCAAGCTGTCTCTAGTGGGCTACAGCAATCATAATAGCTGTCATTCATTCATTCAGCACATTTATTGAGCACCTACTATATGTACTGGGCCCTAGGAGCTCTGGTGGTGTAGGGGTTAAGGTATGTGACTGCTAACCGGAGGGTCAGTGGTTTGAACCCACCAGTCACTCCACAGAAGAAAGGTGAGACAGTCTGCTTCTGTAAAGATTCACAGCCTTGAAAACCCAGTGGGGGTCAGTATGAGTCAGAATTGACTCAATAGCAGTGAGGTTGCTTTTTTTTGGTTTGGTGCCAGGCACTGGGGACACAGCAGGTAACAAAACAGGCAACATGTTCTGTCCTCAAGGTGTTTACATTCTCATGAAAGAGTCATAGAGGCAGCGAACAAGTGAACAAAACCAGATATGCAGTGTGTTAGATGATGATAAATGATGAGGAGAGAAACTGATCAGGAAGGGGGCCAGACGTACTGGGGAGTGGAAGTGTTAGCTGCAGTGGCCACAGAAGGCCTCAGTGTGAAGGTGATACCCGAGTAAAGACAGAATGGAAGCGAGCGTACGAGCATGCAGACATGCGGTGGAGGAACGCTCCGTGCACAGGGCTCGAGGCCAAGGCCCTGAGGTGGGAGCCCACTGCACAGTTAAGCACCAGCAAGGACGGGGAGACTGGCAGAGCCTGTGTGCGGTGCTGTGCACATTGTGTCCATGGTTGTGTGAGCGAGCTGTGGGCCGTGCTCGTGTGCAGAGGAGGGACCTAAGCCCAGCATGGTTCAGTCGCTAGTCCACGGCCACATAGTTGGGGAGGAGGGAGAGCCAGCATTCCAGAGCTCTCACAGCTGTGCCTCTGAGTGTTTTAGAGGCCTCAGCGTCGGGGTGCTGTGTCGCTGGATTGACACCAGGGATAGCATTGCTGCACTGTAGGGTCTGGCAGGAAGGCCTGGGAGGGGAGTCACAAGGAAGTGACTGGGGCACCGGCCTCTTAACGAGCTCAGCCCTGCTGGCGACTCCACCCCTGCCCTGTCTGTTGTTAGGTGCCATCAAATCGGCCCCGACTCATAGCGACCCCTCCTTGGGTTTTTGAGGCGGTATCACTATGGAAGTAGATTGCCCAACCTTCCTTCCGAGGAGTGGCTGGTGGGTTTGAACCGCCAGCCTTCTGGTTAGCAGTCAGGTGCCTCAGGCACTAAGCTCCTGCCCCGTCTGCAGTGTGCCAAGTGCCGGGAGTCGTTCCATGGGAGCCCGCTGGGCGGTCAGCAGTGTTACCGCCTCATCTCAGTGGAGCAGGAATGTTGCCTGGACCCCACATCGCAGACCAACTGCTTTCACGAGCCGAAGCGCCGGGCCCTGGGCCCCGGCCGCACTGTCCTCTTTGGCGTGCAGCCCAAGTTCACCAACGTGGACATCCGCCTGACACTGGACGTGACCTTTGGTGCCGTGGACCTCTATGTCTCCACCTCCTATGACACCTTTGTGGTCCGTGTGGCCCCTGACACTGGTGTCCACACCGTGCACATCCAGCCACCCCCGCCCCCACCACCCCCACCACCCCCTGCTGATGGTGGACCCCGGGGGGCCGGGGATCAGGGCACACTGGGGACCGGGAGTGGACCAGGCACCCCAGTGGAGCCCCGAGTCCGGGAGGTGTGGCCGCGTGGCCTGATCACGTACGTGACCGTGACGGAGCCCTCGGTGGTGCTGGTGGTACGTGGCGTGCGGGACCGGCTGGTCATCACCTACCCGCACGAGCACCATGCCCTCAAGTCAAGCCGCTTCTACCTGCTGCTGCTGGGCGTGGGAGACCCAGGTGGGCCTGGCGCCAACGGCTCGGCCGACTCGCAGGGCCTGCTCTTCTTCCGGCAGGACCAGGCCCACATCGACCTGTTTGTCTTCTTCTCCGTCTTCTTCTCCTGCTTCTTCCTCTTCCTCTCGCTCTGCGTCCTCCTCTGGAAGGCCAAGCAGGCCCTGGACCAGCGGCAGGAGCAGCGCCGGCACCTGCAGGAGATGACCAAGATGGCCAGCCGCCCCTTCGCCAAGGTTACAGTCTGCTTCCCGCCAGACCCTGCCACCTCCACCCCTGCCTGGAAGCCGGCTGGACTCCCACCGCCCGCCTTCCGCCGCTCAGAGCCCTTCCTGGCACCTCTGCTGCTGACAGGGGCTGGTGGGCCCTGGGGACCTGTAGGAGGGGGCTGCTGCCCGCCAGCCCTGCCCGCCACTACCGCTGGCCTGCGAGCCGGGCCCATTACCCTCGAGCCGACGGAGGACGGCATGGCAGGGGTGGCCACGCTGCTGCTCCAGCTGCCAGGCGGGCCCCACGCCCCCAATGGCGCCTGCCTGGGCTCGGCCCTCGTCACCCTGCGGCATAGGCTGCATGAGTACTGTGGAGGGGGCGGGGGGGCGGGGGGCAGTGGGCACGGGGCTGGCGCAGGCCGCAAGGGGCTGTTGAGCCAGGACAACCTCACCAGCATGTCCCTCTGACCCACTGCGGGGTCTCAGCCACAGCAGCCTGGTCCCATGATGGGGCTACCCTGGGGACCCTGGACACTGTTCAGAGACTTCCGGCTCCCTTCCCCCTGGAGGTTCCCAGACAAGGCCTCCATCGTTTTACATTCAACAGTTATTTATTGAACACCTATCATGTGCCAGGCACCGTGGTAGGCATGGGGCAAAGCAGGAACCGAGTCGGCCAGAGTTCCTGATGTCACGGGACTTAGGTTCTGGTGAAGGGAGACAGCACGTGCAGAGGTGGTCGAGTGAGCCCGTTTTAGAGAAGTGCAGGGGACAGCAACAGGATGTGGTCGTCGGACATTGAGAGAAGTTGGGCTTCCGTACTGAGAAGGAACCAGCGTTGGGAGGAGCTGTGGGAAGCAGGTTCCAGACAGAGGGCCCAGCAAGGGCCACGGCCCTGAGCGAGGAGCCAGCTTGTTTTAGTAGGAGGATCAGAAAGCTGGCCAGTGTGACCTGACTGAGTGTGAGACGAGGTGGGGTGACAGGCAGGGCCTCTGTGGGCCTCAGAATGGGCTTTGGGCTTTATTCTCAGGACACTGGGAAGCCATTGATGGTTTTATGAGGAGGAGTGACAGGATCTGAGGTGTCTCTTTAAGAGGGCACTCCGCTTTGGTGTGGACAGTGGATTGTAGGGGGCGAAAGAGGCAGCAAGGGGAGGTGAGGACAGTGGGCCCAGTGTGGGTGGTGGCAGTGAAGGAATCAAGAATGGAGGCAGTGTCAGTTGATGCTACAACCACGGGACTTAGGGGTGGCAGGGATGTTGGGGGGAGGGGAGGAATCCAGATGACCCCTAACTTTGTGGCCCGAGCCCTGGGTGGACAGTGGAGTTATTTATTGAGATGAGGAACACGGGCTTGAGGGGAAGATCAAGAGTCTGATCTTGGACTCGATGTCCTTCAGACAGCTCTTGTCAGGTCCAACTGGGAGACCACTCGGAGTAAAGAGAAGACTTGAATGCAGGGATTGGCAGCACTGGGGAGGGGTGGAGCGGAGGGGCCGCCGTTGCCGTCCCCAGGCCGGAGTGATGAAGCCGGGTCATGGCATTGCGGCCCAGGGGCCAGGGTCACACAAGGACACTGGGACAGGCGCCCGACAAGAGCGGGTGGGAGACAAAGGCGCTGCCAGAGATGCCGCCCTGGGCGGGGGTGGGGAGCCCCAGGTTGGAGACGGAACGCTGGGTGTTCATCTCGGCAGTGCAGCCGCAAAGCCTCCTGGCCTCTTCCCTGGGGCTTGGCGCCGCCCCCGCCTCCGCCTCGGACTACTGAGCTCCCCCACCGCCCAAAACCCAACCAAACCCAAACTCGGCCATCTTCTTGAACTCCGGACTTCTCCAAGGCTCCGTCCCTCAGCTCCTTTGGGGGAGCTGGGTCCTGCATCTTCCTCAGCTGGGGCCCCAGACCCTGCCTGAGGGGATACCTCTCCAGGTGTGCATGTCGGAGGCTGGACTGGCCGGCCCGAAGAGGAGGGGAGTGTGGGATCCACAAATAAAGAGTGTGGGGAAGACCCAGGTGTCCAAGTCTGAATGTGGGAGACTTGGGGCAGGGATTGTCTAGTGTCTCTGAGCCAGCACCTGAGTGCCAGCCCTTCAGGGCACGGGAGGGGGTGGTGCCACCATAGAAGCTCCTGTTCCCCAGAAGGGACCAGACAAGGGGGTAGGTGGCAGGGAGGCCTTTGACCCTTCCTTGGGTCCCTGCTGCAGGGAGAGGCCCTATTTGTCGCGGGAGGAAGGACAGATTGCCTTAGTCCCAGGCGTGAGTTTTCAAGGATTCCTTCGGCCTACGTGAATCACACGAGCCGGCTGTGGTACCTGACCTCCAAGATGGGATGGTGAGCGTCCATTTACCGAAACCCTGTGCAGACAGCTTGCTTGACATGTTACGGATTCATTTTATCTTTTAAAACCGTGTAAGTGCTGTGTGAGCCTCATTTTGCAGATGAGAAAACAGAGTTCATCAATGTTATGTAGCAGCTGGGTGAGGGCTGCCATGTGGACCCACGCTGTCTAACTCAAACCAGTGTGCCTGGCTTCCGAGGGGAAGAAATGGTCGCTGCAGAGACAACTCCAACTCATGGCGACCCAAGGGGTATCAGGGTAGAACTGCCTGTAAGTCTGGAGTCCTTACTTTTTTTTTTTTTTTTTATAATTTATTTTATTTGGTTGAGAGTATACACAGCAGAACACGGACCAGTTCAGCAGTTTTTACGTGTCCGGTCCAGTGACACTGATACATTCTTTAAGTTGTGCAACATTCCCACCCTTCTGAGTCGTTCTTCCTCCACACAAACTCACTGCTCCCTAAGTTTCCCACCTAATCTTT